TTTGTTGAAATTAGTTAAATTTGGAAATTTGTTTTAAGAATGTACTAAGATTTGCATAAACTTACGTGCTCCATTGCAATATGTGAACACACGTGTGATACTGTTCATAGCTGGTCTATGGTTATCTATGCAAATTGGTACAGGTAAAGGAGTACCGCCTCAACCTACCTTCCGCAGTTAGAACTCGTTTTTCTGTTGTTTTGTTTCATGACAAGAAAATGCGTGAATGTAGAACGGCAATAACAGTAAAAACAGTAGATTTAGTTACTAATTTTAAAAGAAAGAAGATGACATAAATTTATTATAATATTTTACAAGTTATGAAACATGCTCGTCTATGTATAATTAAAGACGTAATTACATGATTCTTATACTAAATTGTATTACCTAATTAATAATAAATTATTACAAGTGACAGCAATAAACCGTACCTGGTACGATGCAACAATAGATTTTGAAACTTTGGAAATCATATAACGTGTACGAAGCAATTTGTAGTTCGATACGTAATATTAGAGGCTCGTGAAACGATCCGGAAACTCGGCAATTTCATTTGATTAAATGATCACTGTGCATGTTTCCCTTCTTTTGGCGAAGTTGCCGATGATTGTCTAGCGAACATTTTAAAAGTGATTAATCATGATTACGAATCGATCGGTGCTTAAAAGTTATATTCATGCTTGAAAAATTAAATAGACTGTACATTTACAATAATTAAAATCATATAAAATGATATATAAATCGTAAATTTGATAAATACCTGGGTTTTGGTAAAAAATTAATTTGTGAATATAATATTATATTATATTTATTGTATACATTGTACATTATGTTTATTGTATAAAGGAAAGGTCCTTATTATGAGATATCGAGTTCATTTTGGGTGCTAGAAGGCAAAATTTAAAAAAATAATAAGTCATTTTGAAAGAAATTTAATAAGCTTTAAGATAACGTTATAAAATTTAATTCAAATTCCATTTTTTCGAAAATTAAAGAAATGTAAAAAGTAAGCAAATCGCAAAGTCAAAAAATTATGCTCCTAATATGAGATGCCCCGAGAAATCGATAGAAACATAAAGTAGATCAATATTGCAATTAAAAAACTTTATTTATTGTTTCTAAAATACAAACAACTAATATTCATATTTTAATAACGATTTTCATTACAATGTAGAATCATATTAGAAATACCCTGGATATCTCATATTATGATTTGCCTTATGGTTTTACGATCAAATTTAACTTCTGTAATTAAACAATTCAACATATTCCATATTTTTCTATTAGTACGACCTTACTCTAACACTACATAAAGAATTTATTGCCAAATATTTATTTATTAAATAATAAATAAGGTTTAAAGGCTCATCTCAATAAAACTTGAAGACATCCAAATTCTAAAATCTTATTTTACAATGACTACAGGCATGATCTAATAATGAATTTTCTATTAAATAGTTTTCAATCCAAGAGCAATAAATTCATGGTAGAATCAATAGATAGTGTTTATTAGTTTAGCAGAAACGCTATCTCATATTAGGCGCCTATCTCATAATAGAGAGCTTCCCCCCCTCCCCCCCCTCTCTCTCTCTCTCTCTAAATATATATATATTGTATATATATCGTATTTCATTCAATAAAAAATTGTAAACAAAATTAAGAAATACAGGAAGAAATCACGCTTTATGTTTTTTAATTATTCATACAAATTCTTAAATTGCATTAAAAAATATGTTATTTTTTAGCACTTCATGCATCTTGCAATTCCGATTCAGAATGCATAGAATATGCCCACTGTGTGATGCGTAACAGCACAATGGGAAGACGCTGTTATTGCGAAGAAGGATTTGTCGAAGTACCTCCATCGTTGTATATTTGTGACGGTAAAATTTATTTCTCTTTGCATTACAAGAATTATTATTAGCATGTTAGAAACGACATATTATACATCTAATTATAATCTAGACAGTTAACATAAAAGTAACATTTATTATTACTGTTTCAATAATATATTGTTCAAAATAAATTCAACAATAATTCAAAAATAAATTCATTTTTTTATAAAAATTTAAGTAAAATAATTATTAAAATTGCAAATAATGATTAAAATAAAACTTTCAATATTAATAAAAAAATGTAAGTATTAATTTCAATAAAGTTCATTTGATTTTCTTTAATTTTGAATGAATTATAAAATATTCTATTAGGCGATAAAATATATTATAATAATTTTATATATATTTTATATATTTATATTATAATGATTTTATTATAAATATATATGTTACTGTGTTTAATAAACAAGATATATCAAATTTTGTTTATGTTAAAAATTGGAAAAACATGATAATTTTTTCGTTAAATACTGCATCTCTTATCTATAATTTAGTATAGGAAATAAAATGACGTAATAGCTTCAACTGCTTTAAGATTTGCTATCACGAGCTTGTGTTATTACAAAACGGAAGTTCGAATTTTTCTCGTAAAATTATCTACGAGAGATAATTGAATATCACATTTCATGTGTGTGCATACATCATTAAAAAATTAAAGAATAAGATATTTACATCCTTCGTAGGTTGCTCGTCCATCTTTACGTTGCATACAACGATTCTTTTGGCTGCGTCACTTGTGCTTGGAAGATTTAACTATATCTAAAATATTCAATCTTGAAGAATTGTCTTGAACTTCAGAGTCTGTACGATAACCCTCACAGTAGAAAAACATTAAAATTCTTCGAACCAACGAATCAAAAGAGAAGTCGCTTAGAAATACATATCTATAAAAGTGTCTGTTTAATTAAAAAAAAAGAGAATAAGATGTACGTACGAATACATTTCAGAACGGTAATGCACATTTATGTGTCAAATAACTATGAACTACCCTGATGAGAGAATCTTCCCTTGTATAAAATAGTCGCTAATAGCACTTTTTCATAAAGTTGTTCTTTTTAAATTCTTCAGAGGAATAATTTTTTTCTTCAAATAAAATTTGGTTTATTGTCATCTTTATCAGTAAATTTTGAACAAACGATTGTATAAAATAATATTTATGTACCTTATGTAAATTATTTAAATTTTATAATACTATTATAATAATATACTGTTGTATTTCATTTTTTATAATATACTATAAAATTTGATATCAAGATTAATTTCTTCATACTGAAATGATTGTTATTATTCTCATTTATTTAGAGAAAGTAGCGATTTTTTAGAATAGTTTATATGTTGCAAATAATACATGTAAAGTATTTCCCTTTAATTTCTTTTATGTTTATAAGGTTTTCAAGTGCAGCGAGTTTGAACCTAACCCAAGTCAGTTAACCCTAAGTACCAAGACCTCGTCTAATCAGAGACTAAAGTAGAGCATGTGACGTCATTAATGTGATCTGGGTTAAACTTACTGCATTCAAAAACGCTATTAGAGAATTATTTCCACATTCAACTATATATAGTCAATATATCAGTTAATCGACAGGCTTATATAGCTAGTGATAAGATATATAAAATACTGTATTTAAATTTTATGAAAACAAATTTAAATATTTTCGAATTTTTCCTGTAAAATCAATAAGTGATTTAGAGTTTTTGATTGTTTTTTAATTTTAGAAGTCCGTGGAAATAAACAATTATGCTTATCTAAAAAAGATTGTGATTTAGAGTTTCTAATTGTTTATTTTATTGTACTTTCATAAACACAACAATTATACATAATTTTCTATTATTGTATTATAAGAATGTAATTTAATTATTAATTTACAACTTATGTTCGTAGTGAAAATAAGTTAAAAAAGTGAACGTCAATTTTGAATCATTTGTAACTGTTAATCATCAATCGTAAATAAGCAATCGATTCTTCGTACTCGTCTATATTCTTAATATTTTAAGCACTTTAATTTTTCGACTCCCATTCTGATTTCTCAGACATAAATTCTCAGAGGCAAGAAACTGATTTCAAAAAATTTTTTGTATAATAGTTATGTTTATAATGTTAAAAATAATATTAAAATACAATAAATAAATAGATCAAGCATAAAAATATAATATAATGTCATTTATTTTTATTGATTTGGATATAGAATATCTTTAAAACTCTAATTATAATAATATATATTATTATAGTAATAGTTTTTTTAGTACACTCTAATTCTTGAACAATATTTGTTAAACAATTCTGCAAATAACTTAATGTTATTAAATTATTATAATATTAATTTTTTAAAATTTTAAAAGTTAACTCTTTAAAATAATTATAAAATAATATTTTAAAAAGAGGCAAATAGGAATCATCCCCCCCTGCTAAATAAATAAATAATATCTTTTCGAAAGTTTTTTGAAAATTACATATATTATACATTTATTTGTCTCAAAATAAAGGCTTACAAAAACTTTGGAAAAATTTACAAAAATTATCAAAATCTAGTAGAATTATTCTGAAATTATCATCCATAGAGCGAATTTAGGAAAACAGCTCGCCCTTTTTTGGGAATCGAAAAATTAAAATTCTTACAATTAGAAAATATTATTATGTATACAATTAGAAAATTTGTTATAATGGCAATTAAATTAGGACCAAATTTATTATTTTATATAAATTTTTCTGTTTCTCGAGTGTGATCATAGCTTATCATTTCATTGCTATTATGCCATATATTCTTATTCTGTTATATAATTATAATAAACACGAGTGCGCGGAAGACTAAAACAATATTAATATTAATATAATTCAGATAAAATTTAGTATTAAATGTTAAATTTGACTATTTTTAGAATTTGAGATAACAGAGTAATGCTTTGATAGTAAATTTTTGCAGTGTACATGATTAAGCTTCGTATTTTAATTGCACTAAAGGATAAAAATGTTTATAAAGATGCATATATTATGATACAATATACTAAAATGATTTATCCTTTGTCATATTTTCCTCAATGCACAAAGTACACAAAAAAAAAAGATTCGTAGAAAGACAAAATTCTCACAAAATTGCGAATAGCACACGATTACCTAAATACTTTAGAATTCTAATTCTCCTCAAATTCAATTATAATTCAAATGTTCATCAAATGTTATGTTAATTCCGTCTTAATTTGCAAATCGATTTAAATATTTAACAATGAAATAAGTTCTTATAAAAAATATAAACTTTTGCCAATTATAAAAAATATAATTAATACTTCAATTACTAACATAAATACTCAAAATAATATTTACAATAGATAAATAATATTTATTTTTTCGCTATCATATATTTACTAATTGCATAGATTTAATGACCGAGTTTAATTTATTATAGTGTAAGTATCTTTTGTAAACTTTGTAATGTAATAATGATCAAGAAAAAAACATTAGTTATTAATCACATTCTGATGTCGTTTTATGTATTTGGATATTTCTTGCACAAATAAATTCTTGAATCTTTTCGCAATATGTATTTATTTATTCTTTTAAATAAGAGATATTCATAATAATAGGTAAGTATCAAACGTATGTTTTTTACAAATTAGACACAATTATTTTATTTATCACAATTATTTTATAATGATACACCTGAATTTCTCCATTATTACTTTTTTCTAAATATCAATTGTGTTACAGTGTTTCCTGTCTGCCCGCCAAATTGGAACGTATCCGTAGGAAGTTGACTATTGAGTTCAAAATCTGCGAACAATAATCGAGTTATGCACATGCATTCGAAGAGATCATCTTCATAATATTACAAAGATAATGATGTAAAAGCAATAATTTTATTTTATGAGAAAAAACACGTCTTTGTTAACTAATCGAAAAAATCGTAAATAAATGCACGCGCATAATAATTAATAGAATATTATAATAAATTAAATACATAATAACAATTATATGACATATAATTAGTATTTCAACTAATATTTAATAATTTATACTTCAACTATTTAAAATACATACATATCAACCTCGACTACAATAACAGGTCATTTGGACTTGAAACGAAAATTTTTAGATAGTGTACAATCTGTACAATTAGTATTAAATTGAAACAAAAGTTAGTAGCGTTATTTTATTTATAACATATCTATATGTTTTAAAAAAAATTAGCAATTATATCATTCGATAGAACAAAACTTTAAGAACCCTTTTTAATTGCGGTACAATGATTTTTAATAAAGTTTGACCAATCAGTGCTTTTTTTATTTAAATCGTGATAATTAAAACAAATATGTTAGAAAAATTTAAAAAAAGTTTTGTAGGAACAATTTTAAGCTTTCACAACAGAAAGATTATTACAAAAAGTCAAAAATTTTCAAACTTTTTTGCATCCGACAGATCACAAAATAAAAAAAGTTTCCTATTTTGTCCAGAGCTTGTTGTTTTCTTTATATAAAAGTTTTCTATATGTAAAAGTTAATAAACTCACAGAAACTGAAAAGACATAGTAACTTTTTGAAAGTAGAGATTTAGCTTTAAAACCTTTTTCTTTAATTTAAACTTCGTTCATTTTTAACGAAGTAACAGTTGTTTGAATTTTAAAGTTCGTAGCACAAACTTTTGTTCCATTCCAATACTATGTGAGGCTCTAAATTGTAGATAAACAATTTAAACTTTCCTCTATCAATTGCCATAAGATAGAAGTTCACTTGTTTCTATACTTCAAATAGGATACTTTAGAACTTAAGTGTAGTTGTCATAGCTGTAGTGTGTTGAGAGTTAAAATTTTAATTAATAAGTGTACTAACAACTCGCAAAATGCTTCAGCAATTCTTCTTTGGTCCAGTTACAGGACGTCAAGACGAAATATCCTCCTGGCAAAAGGATGCGATATATATTTTCTATATATTTCTGTCTCTTTGCCATCGGGTCTTCTGGATTTAAACTAATAGCGTCGTAAGTGCCTTTATCATGAACGACTTTAAAATCATGCGGCAATGTGTTGTTGAGTATATCGCAAATCTCTATTTTTACATTTGGCAAATTGTTATCGTTCAACACTATACGGGCCAGATCTATCCCTTTTTGTGAATAATCCACCCCTGTCAAGTTCGCGAATCCTTCTTTCGCAAGTTCCACCAAAGTCATTGCATTACCGCATCCTACATCGATTATCTTATCATTCTCTTTGTTTAAATCCAATTTTGTGGCAATCCATCTAAAAAATAATTTCCTTCATATCAATTCTAAAATTTTCGGAGCTATATGAGAAACAATTTATTTTTATTTACTTTTTGTTTACTTTCAATATCTTAAAAAAATAATGGAGATTACATTTTACAGATTAAGTTTAAAAAAATTAATCGCTTTTTTTAGGATAAAATTTTTCTCTACATTTTAAATTAAAAATATTAATTGTTATCATATAAAATATTTATTAATTTCATACATAATATTGCATAAAGATTATAAAATTTTATATAATTATTAATCATTCTAATCATTTTGGATTACGAAAGAAATAAAAAAAATTGTAATAAACATCAAATCTCAAATATTTAGTACTTTTAAATGCTTAACATATTTATTAATAATAAGAACTATCAAAGCAGTCAAAATGACTGTTTTATAATCTTTTACAAGAATGATTTAAATTTGTAATAGTACATTATGTTGTAATATGTAAATATAATTAATTTAATCAATTTACATTCCTTTCATCCCATTTTTCAGAAAAACTACAGAATATAGAAATAGTACAACACACTTAAATAGTAGTAGAAATGGAGATAAATTAATCGGTAATTTTAGTATTAATTACGTTAAAAAGAAAAAAATAATTGTTAATCAACAATCTATAAGTTTATTATGTCTAAAGCTCGTTTCCACCAGCGCAGATTAACTTTAATCTCGGTTCAACTTACTTTTTGTCTTTTTCTAATTCTAAAGATTAAAAAAAAGGCGAAGAGTAAGTTGAACCGAGATTAAAGTTAATCTACATTGGTGGAAATGGGCATAAATCTATTTAATAATTATCCGCAGTAGAAAAGACTATCGCAAGACCAACGCCGGAAACCGAAACGTTATCGACGGAGGAAGCAAGACTCGGTCTCGCAGATGTCGCCACCAGTGCCGCGCGGGGAACAGTCTCGATCACGTCGCGGCTGTTTTCGTTTCCGCGGGAAAGCCCATTGATTTTCCGCGGTGCTATTTACTTGTGGTACGACACGAGACTCGTGTTCGCGTGCCGGACTTCCTGGCTTCGCTTACCGTACGACCTTGCGCGTGTTGGCCGCGCCGAACCATACCTCTCCTACGTCGCCGTAATCGTGGAAGTTGTCGAGCTCCTGCGCGTACACATTCTCCCAGCTGCGGCAAGAGCGGACAACAGAGGATCAGAAAAGCGGCGAGTGATGCACAACGGGTGTTGCGCAGTTACGGTACGTATTACTTACAACTCTTGAGTACCCAGCTCCGACGATGTCAATTCCTCGCCCGTCCGCTCTGTCATTATTCCACTGTGGCTCGTTCAAGTCTGACGTTTACGACAATGCTGACTAAATGCCGATCTAATCGGGTCTGCAAAGCACGAGATGCTCGGACGGTACCAAATGAAAAACCGAGTAATCGCGATTGATCGGTGAATTGTATTATCATAAAACAGTGAATTAATTGCGATTCAGATAGGCTAATTTGACAAGCAGTATTTATTTCATAAACTGGTTTAATAAAATCGTGAAATGCAATACTTCATTGTTTCGAAATTTCACGACTGATGGCAGCACCGTTTAAATATTATCGACAACAAATGCACGTTGCTTTGTTAGTAAATAAATAAAATATGCGTTTGTTAAAAGCCACAGTTAAATATTTGTACATGAATGAATTTTATGATTTTTTAGATTTTTAATGATTTTATTAAATAATGTTTTGTCAAAACAAGAAAGAAAAGAAGTTTTGTTTATTTTCTTGTATAACTACATGTCTAAATATTTTTGACGCTGTCGTGTTGTATTAATATAGGTATTTTTCATTGCATGGTAGTGCAGATGTTCATAGCGCTATCTGGTAGCCGTAATGCTAAATGCAAGCAGAGTGTCAATTTCCGAGGAGTTATCCATGTAGCAAACAAAATTTTTCGTGTATTTACTAAAGAAATTTATTTAAAACATTGATTTCAGAAAAGAGATGCATTTGTTAAGCATCATACAATATAATACAAATACGATTGTGCAATAAATACGTAAAAAAAAAAATCGAATACTTATACATTTTACTGTTTGTCCAAATGATTTCTATTCGCTGAAACTGTTATTTATTTGACAAAGTCGGTTTTGTAGAATTAAAAATTTTGATTGATTTGATAAATCGTATCTGTTTATTTACTCGTTTTTATTTACGCGCGATTATTCATATATTTATGTGTATTATGTGAAACCTAACCTAGTTGTGGCGGTCAAACTTGATGTTATCTAACGGTATATACACTGTCAATCTATCATCGTGATAGTGCACAATTCATTTACGCTCAATAACCTCTACGTTGCAATTTGTAATTTTTTAGTCTGGATTATTAAGTGCCATTTTGACATGAACATTAATAATTTGTTCACGAGCCTGTTATGTTTTGGTAAGTCATTAGACTTTGATACTTTAAATAATATTTCTATAGAAACAATAAAGTGATCTTATTGAACAATGATAATGTTAGTAATGAATTATTTTTTTAACGCGCGCAGTATTTGGAAAATTATTAGCCATGTAATGTCGAGTTTAGAACATACCTCACTGTTTAAAATGGCATGTAATATTAATTAATGGACAGTACACAAACCATAGAAATGCGGTTAGCTGCACTTTAAGTTACTGTTAGCTTGTACTGAAGATGACTCAAAGATGAGTCGAAACGTAATTTTATATTCAACGTCTTTTTGTGATATTTGTAATAAACACGATATATATTTCTCACTGTTAACTGCGCTGACTCACACACATACACCCCTTCTTTCATACTTTTTTATTTAATATTAATTGCTACTTTTTATTTATGAGCTTTTTTTAATATAGTAAATTTTAAATTTATAAAATCTATTACATTTCATAAAGATATTACTCTAACAATTGGTGTCTAACAAATGGTTTGTGCAGTTTTTCTGGCTTGTCAAGTAGCGTTTTACATTTAGCTTCATATTTGTAATTTTAATTTGTCTTCGAAATTTTTCTATGTACAGTGAACGTTAATAAGTAATTATAATATAATTTTGTATAGGGCGACAATGCACGAAATCTTCTGCTGTAGCAAGGTGCTACGCTTCTGTTGCTGCAAATCCAATAGACAAAGACAATATAAAACCAAAAACTGGTATATTAATGTTAAATATGGGCGGTCCTACCAATATCGATCAAGTCCATGAGTATTTATTAAGAATAATGACTGATCGTGATATGATTCAACTTCCAGTTCAAAGGTTTTAATCTGAATTTTATAGAGCTTATATACATAGTACGAAAGGGAGTATTATGTAGGAGAGATATCTTTTATAGAAATATGTTGCAGTAAATTAGGTCCTTGGATAGCCAAACGTCGTACTCCAGAAGTACAGAAAAAGTATTCTGAGATTGGTGGCGGATCGCCAATACTACAATGGACGAAAAAACAGGGCGAACTTTTATGCAAAAAACTGGATAAAATTTCGCCTGAAACTGCACCTCATAAGTATTATGTTGCCTTTCGATACGCAGATCCTCTCACAGAAGATACCCTTGAGAGGATACACAAGTACGGTTATCATATTTTCTTAGGTGTAATATAATCTAAACATGTAAACATGATTGTAGAAAGATGAAGGTAATTTGAATGAGTTGTGCTTTTTTTCAGCGATGGAGTACAACACACTATACTTTTTTCTCAATATCCTCAATATAGTTGTTCAACTTCAGGTTCCAGTTTTAATGCTATATACAATTATTACAAAACTAGGTGATTATTATATTTTTAATCTACTTTTAGTCTAGATAAGATAATCATTAATTATAGATCAATATGAAAGATTAATTAATTATGGCCCTCTTTATTCATTTATATTTGATCTTATTATCTATTTTTCACATATTTGTCATAAGCAGATTTGCTAAATTGAAGATGCGACAAATATTCCGTGTATTATTTCGTACATGTATGTTTGCTATACACACACAGATATTTACATTCACAATATTTACATTATATATAAATTAAATTATTACTTGTTGTTTCAATATAGGATATAATAAATAAGAATAAATTAGAAAATATAATGATAAAATGCATACACACGGGTCGAAATTGTTTTATAGAGAGTCACCAAATGGCATGAAATGGAGCATAATCGATAGATGGGCTACGCATCCACTTCTTATAAAAACATTTGTCGAAAGAATTAAAGAGGAACTTGCACAATTTCCTAGCGAAAAAAGAGACGATGTGATAATTTTATTTTCAGCACATTCTTTACCATTACAGGTCTTGTCTTGAATTAATGCGTTTTATGTAATCACTTAAGAAATTAGCCTGATTTATCTTTTCCTGTAATTACTTTAGGTTGTAAACAGAGGAGATTCTTATCCCGCAGAAGTTGGAGCCACAGTTGCATTAGTAATGCAGGAATTAAATTACTGTAATCCATACAGCTTGGTATGGCAATCAAAGGTATATACATGAATGTATGTGCTGCTTAAAATTTAGCGAACTTTAAATAGCTTAGAGAATGTTTTGCGTTTAGTATATGCATTACGGAGTATATATATTTAGGTTGGACCTACATCATGGCTAGGACCTTTTACCGATGAAGCGTTAAAGGGTTACGTTAAACAGGGCAAGAAAAATTTTATTCTGGTACCAATTGCATTTGTAAATGAGCATATTGAAACTCTTCACGAATTGGATATAGAATATTGTCGAGAACTTGCTGAAGAAGTAAGAAATGCAGTTATTGTTTAATGTGATAAACAAAGAATATTTTATGTTTAATTTTTCTAGCTTGGTATTGAGACGATACGAAGAGCTGCTGCGCCTAATGATCATCCTATTTTTATCGACGCTTTGACGGATATTGTTGTGTCTCGTCTTAGATCAAAACAATCTGTAAATCCTAAATTTTTAACACGGTGTCCTCATTGTGTAAACTTAAATTGCGATGCTAGCAAAAAATGGTACGCTGAAATCTGTAAAAATTAATATTAAAAATTAATGTAAAAATTACAATTACACGCGCGCGAAATCATAATCATAAATATTATATTGTGTTTAAGTATGAATAATAATTATTTGTATAATTTGCTGTATTAATTATACGTAATGTTACATAATGGTTTGTTAATAATTGAGTGAAAATGAAATAGATCTAATCGAATATAAATATGTATTATGTTTGAATACATTATATATGGAAAGCGTGTAATAATATCGAATAAATAGATACTCGTTTCATTTCGTAAATCCTTCGCAAAATTCCCTTAGAATAGTTAAAGCAGCTTTGTTAACAAAGTTTTTATTATTTTTTTTTATATGGATACTACTAAAATAGTTCTCATTTATCTCTTCGCTCTTGATATAATCCAGAATAACTGACATATTATTGGTTTTTAAGTAAATACAGTATCTAGCTCTTGTCAATAATATAGCTTTAATCTTTATTGTTTGATATACTCTGTTTGAATTTGCGTGCGTTCGATGTTTACTTTTTCAACGAGCTAAAAATTATAATCGTACATTAGGTGTTGCATCAATGATCTCGATGTTATGTTTCTTCTTTGCTTGCTTATTGGCTTTGTCTTGTAAAAACATTGCGACAATCAGATACGACAATCAGAGACGTAATAATTCTATTATTACTATACAAGAAAATTACTACACGTCAAGCTTGATAAGACCGTAATAATCCTATTATTGCTATAGAAGAAAATTATTGTATTTTACATATCACAAGTTTAATAAGTTTCTTTAATACTATATTTGCTTAGAAGATGTTTATGATTTTGCGTATATTTTATGTCTGCTAAGATTTTTTGCATTTACACATATAAATTTTATTGATAAAACTGTTAAAATTTTGCCAATCTGTGAAGCTTGAAATCTTGGAAGAACTCGAGAGGATAATTATATTAAATATATGCATTTTAGTGTATATATATATAAAACTAGTGTTCCTTTTGAAATAAGCTGCGAGATTAAATAGTTCGATTGAATGGTTTAAATAATTTTTCGGTTTTCACTTAAATCCATTTCGATGATATTTTATTAATCATAATAAAGTCGACGAAAGAATATTATTATGATTTATTATCTGTATTATTTATAAGAACTTTCTGCGGTGGTTAAAGATAAACATTTAGGCGTAAAAAGATAAATTTTATTATGTGTATGTACAGCCCGAGATTGATCTCAGGATTGACTCTTCACTCAAGGCTTCGTCAATCTTGTCATTTGCAGAGGATGTATTGTCACTAATAATATCATTTTGACTTCTTTGACGTAATTTTAATGCAGTCTTTAATTGCATATATAAAAAAGACATTCAGATTTCTTTCGAAATAATTAATGTACTAAATCGGTCAGAGATTATTACAGTGGATTTCAACATAAAATGGAATTTATTAATTTTTATTAAATTTTCAAGTTTTTGTTGGAAAAATTTCTTGAATTATTTATTTATTTATTTTATTTCTTTTATTTTGTGTTGTATATCATTCGGCATATTTATTCAAATGTATTCAGTGTACATCATTCTGACATATAAATACTGAATATTAGATTAAAAAAAAATTCATTTTTCTTGCACTTCTAAACGTAAACTTCAAATACGATTGATAACGAAGACAAAAAAAACTTCTTAACTTCTTTCCAATCGTGGAAATAAAATTTATTTAACTATTCTTAAGACATTTTCAAATATAAAAACCGATAAATATCGATCATAAATAACAAAATTATAGATAAAAAAGTTCAATCTAAAATATATAAAAATGTACTTTTACTTCATTCTTGGCATTGATTTGTTGGACAGTTACTGTTTTTGTTATTAACATACTTCTTTTCTTTCTATTGGTAGTTATACTGAGGAATATTTTAATAATTCTTGTAAAAATGTAAACATAGAGCATTGAGTTGCTCCACATCTACATGAAATTTGATTCGAATAGACATTTTTTAAGAAAAATGTTTATTCTAAAGATTAATATATGTATATAGTTGTTCTAAAGTTAACTTTATTTAGTTGTTTATTGAGGTTGCTCAATATTTCTTATGAAAATTCTTTAACTACATATATATATA